CACATGCACGACCACTGACATCACCCACACATAACACATGTACGACCAGTGACATCACCCACACAACACATTCACGACCACTGACATCACTCACACATAACACATGCACGACCACTGTTATCACCCACGGATCACAACACATGCACGACCATTGACATCACCCACACACATTACAACATATGCATGACCACTGACATCACCCACGCATCATCACAACACATGCACGACCACTGACATCGCCCACACATCACAACACATGCGCGACCACTGACATCACCCGCGCATCACAACCTAAGCACGACCACTGACATCACCCACACATCACAACACAAGCAAGACCACTGACATCAACACATCACAACAATACCACTGACATCACTCACACATAACACATGCACGACCACTGACATCATCCACACATCACAACGCATGCACGACTACTGACATCACCCACGGATCACAACACATGCACGACCACTGACATCACCCACGGATCGCAACACATGCACGACCACTGACATCACCCACACATCACAACAAATGCATGACCACAGACATTACCCACACCTCACAATACATGCACGACCACTGACATCCCCCACACATCACAACACATGCACGACCACTGACATCACCCACGGATCACAACACATGCACGACCACTGACATCACCCACACATCACAACACAAGCACGACCATTGACATCACCCACACATCACAACATATGCATGACCACTGACATCACCCACGCATCATCACAACACATGCACGACCACTGACATCACCCACCCCTCACAACACATGCGCGACCACTGGCATCACCCGCGCATCACAACACAAGCACGACCACTGACATCACCCACATCACAACACAAGACCACTGACATCAACACATCACAACACGACCACTGACCACGAACACTGACGTCACTCACACATCACAACACATGCACGACCACTGACATCACCCACATCACAACACAAGACCACTGACATCAACACATCACAACACGACCACTGACCACGAACACTGACGTCACTCACACATCACAACACATGCACGACCAATGACATCACTCACACATCACAGCGCACACATGCACGACCATTGACATCACCCACACATCACAATACTTACGAGCACGACCACTGACATCAGCCACACATTACAATATACACAAGCACGACCAATGACATCACCCACACATCACAATACATACAAGCACGACCACTGACATCACACTTCACAATATACCCTAGCGCGGCCACTGATATCGCCCACACATCACAAACATAACCCTGACATCACACACACATCACAACCACAACCCTGACATCATCCACACATCACAACACTCACAACCACAGCCCTGACATCCACACATCACAACCACAACCCTGACATCACCCAACAAACCTTACACCTTCGTTACCTCTCTCTCTTCCCACAATGACGACCCACACCACACTCCCTCACATTCACACCACACTTCCTCACACTCACCACACTCCCTCACACTCACACGACACTCACTCAGCTATACTACACCTTACACTCACACATCAAGCCAAGTCAACACACGCCCTCACCACACACCAAACATCACACCACATATATACACACCCTCACCAAACACTATCACACACACACCACACTATCATAACACGTCATACTATTAACATACACCACACCTCACGCCATCACCACACCTCACACTATCGACATACTTCACACCATCACCACACCTCACACCAACACACCTCACACCATCACCACGCCTCGCACCATAACCACGCCTCATACCATCACCACACACCACACCTCACACCATCATATACCACACCACACCTCACACCATCACCACACCTCACACCATCAACATACCTCACACCATCACCACGCCTCGCACCATCACCACGCCTCATACCATCACCACACCTCACACTATCACCACACCCCACACCACACACCAACACCATCACAACACACCCCACCTTCCTAGCACGTAATCCCCACTCACACATCATGCCTCCGCACCCCTCACTCCCCCTACCACCCACCCTAAACCCCCACCAACCACCATTCCTTCCAACCAACCACTATCCCTCCTCCACCACAAACCACCTCGGCACACAACCAATGTCGACCAAAAATTTCTCGGCTGCTAATGGTGACGATAGTGATGGTGGTAGTGGTTGATGGTAGTAATGGTGATTGATGGTGGTGGTGGTGGATGGTGGTAGTGGTGGTTGATAGTGGTGGTAGTTTTGGTTCATGATGGTAGTGGTGGTGGCGGTTGATAATGGTAATGGTGGTGCTTGATGGTGGTAGTGGTGGTGGCCGACGATGGTAGTAGCATTGGTGGCTGACGATGACAGTAGCAGTGGTGGTTGATGATGATAGTAGTGGTGTTTGATGGTGGTAGTGGTGGTTGATGATGGTAGTGGTGATGGTGGCTGAGGATGGTAGAGGTGGCGCTTGATGGTGGTAGTGGTTGATGGTAGTGGTGGTGGTTCATGGTGGTGGCGGTGGCAGTGGATAGCAATGATGGTGGTGGTGGTGGTTGATACTGGTTGGGTTAATAGTTGTGGTGATGTTGGTGATTAATTAATGGTAGTTGGGGTTGATAGGGGTGGTACTTGAGACTGGTGAAGAGGCTGATGGTGACTGGTTATGGTTGGGGAACTGATGTCAATGGTTATTAATACTGGCAGCTAGCTGGATTATTATTATTATTATTATTATTATTATTATTATTATTATTATTATTATTATATCATCATCATTTAAAAGCTTTCAAAATTCGCAAGGGTCATAGTGGAAAGTGGTGGTAGTAGTGAAGGTGGTAGTGATGGTAGTTGCGATGGTGGTGGTGGTGGTGGTGGTGGTGGTGGTAGTAGTGATCATCCTGACATCCTGGGCCACAAAATAAGCCTAAAATCCTCCCTGTCAAAGAGGCAGACCCCCCTCCCCCACCCCCTCCCTTACAACAAAACCCTGCCAGTGAGGGTCACAATCCTCCCCTCCCTCTCTACGACCCACAGGGGCAACTCAAAACCCACCCTCACTCTAACCACCCACCCGGGACCCACCTCTGCTGCAGGGTGGGCTCGACACTCCCCCCACACACACACAAATACATACACACACACTACCCCCCCCACACACATACACACACACTCTACACACACACACACACATACACATACACACCACACACACACACACACACACATACACACTACCCCCACACACACTACCCCCCACACACACTACCCCCACACACACTTACACACTACCCCCCACATACACATACACTACACACACACACACACACACACACACACACACACACACACCCAACACACACACACACACCCACACACACACACTACACAGACACACTACACACAATACACATACACTATACACAATACACATACATTACACAAACTACACACGCGCGCGCACACACACACTACACATGCAAACACACACACACACACTCTACACACACACACACACACACACACACTACACATACACGCACAAACACACACGCACACACACACACGCACACACTAAACACCCACACATACTACACACACACACTACACACACACACACACTACACACACACACACTACACACACACTACACACACACCACTACACCCCATCAAAACACCACTACACACACACACACACTACCACACACACTACACACACACACACACACACACACACACACACACACACACTACACCCCCACACACACACACCACACCACACCCCACACACACACACCCACACACACACACACAACACACACACTACACACAACCCCACACACTACACACACAAAACACAAAACTACACACACACACACACACAACAAAACACACACAAAACACTACACACACACACACACACCACACACACACACACACTACACACACTACCCCACACACACACACACCCCACACACTACACACACACACACACACACACACACACACACACACTACACACACTACACACTACACACACACACACACACTAAAACACACACACTAACACACACACACATACACTACACACACACACACACACTACACACACACACTACACACACACACACACACACACACACACACACACACACACACTACACACACACACCACACATACACACACCACACACTACACACACATACACACTACACACACTACACACACACACTCCCACACACACAAAACACACACACACACACACACACACACACACACACACACACATACACTACACACACACACACACACACACACACACACACACACACACTACACACACACACACACACACACACACACACACACTAAACACACACATACACACACACACACACTACACACACACACACACACACACACTACACACACACACACACACACACACACACACACACACACACACACACACACACACACACACACCCCACACTACACACAAACACACACTTTACCTAAACATTTTTTAATAAACATTTCTGAAGTCACATACAAACCTCATTTCTGAATGGGGGGTTAAAGAACCCCATTCAACCCACGATGGGTATGCGACACCTCAGTTTACATAAACCCATTAATAAACACACCAAATATTAAAACCTGTTTTATGGACAGAAAACATGAATTAAAAATCACTCATTCATAATTGTAAAATTAAAACGAGTGGGGGGGTGAGGTGCCTCCCCCACAACAGTGGGGGGTGAAGTGCCTCCCCCACAACAGTGGGGGGTGAGGTGCCACTCCCCCACAACAGTGGGGGGTGAGGTGCCACTCCCCCACAACAGTGGGGGGTGAGGTGCCTCCCCCACAACAGTGGGGGTGAGGTGCCACTCCCCCACAACAGTGGGGGGTGAGGTGCCACTCCCCCACAACAGAGAAGGTATGCCCCCCCCCCCCACAACTAAACAAACAAGGGTAATCAACTTACTTTCCTGTCTATCTGACAGTGTTGTTTTTATTTGGGAAAAAGATTATTGATCTCATAAGACCGGAGCTGAAGGGACGGTGGTGAGTAGTGCCTGCTGACCGTGCCAGTCACCAGGGGGGGTTGGTGAGTGCCTGCTGACCGTGCCAGTCACCAGGGGGGGTTGGTGAGTGCCTGCTGACCGTGCCAGTCACCAGGGGTGGGGGGGTGACAGTGAAGGTGGGGTCGGCGCCCCCTCCTCCAGGCCCAGCCCACCTCTCCCTCACTCTGGGATCAGAGTGGATGAGTGGCAATAAGGTCGTTAAGCAGCCATGGTTGGCCCTCAGGGGCAGGCACAGGTGCCAGGGCAAGCAGGTCCAGGTGGTACTGAGTATCAGTGAGGTGGCACCAAGGTAGTAGGGCAGGTAGGGCTCAGGGGCACCGCTAAACTTAGCCACGAGCCCTGACACGGTGCCACCGAGTGCCACCTATGACGAAATGACTCTTGCTGGGTGGCAGAGTAAGGTCGAGAGTGCCGCACCACGCTGGGGCCGCCGCCACCGCCGCCGCCGCCGCCGCTCAGAGCGCGTCTCTTCAACACACTCAACACACACACAACACACTACCAATACAAACTCATCATCAACCTACACGTTAAACCATCAACTTGATCATCCTCTTCACCTCCAGACTTTCATGGTTGCGTTAATATAATAGAAACCTCTTTATGCGCGCCTGCAATGTTGCACTGCATTTATCATCTTGGGACGGCACTGCACGTTGCAACAACCACTCTGAGAGACTGTTACAAGTCTCCGCTGACACCGTGCACTCAAGCAACCACAGTCACCAGTCACGTGTTGCTTATTCTCCACATTTCGACAACTTTCTGCGCCAGAAGAGTGGTCAAATTGATGCCATGTATGTGGGCAGCAGTACCCAAACAGTCAGGGTTGCAACACTCCCTGGCAACCAGTGAAAACATTGAAATACTCTCACTTCCAGTACCTAACACACCACTAAGTTACCTATGGCTGAGTAAGGGGAGGGAGGGGGAAGCCTTTTATTTTTTTCTTTCTTTCCTTTTCAAGGGCCAGATCACACGCCAACTGGTCCGGTCCCCGGGAAAAAAACTTGGCCGTGGCACATTGACGACAGTGTTTGAGACAAAGTTTTGCTGGGAGATGTTGAGACACTCGGACGTTTCAGAAGACTGCCTCGCTGTTTTCACTCATCACATCCAGTCTGCTCACAGCAAAAGGAGGCTGGATAAGAGAACACATCTTTTCGCGAAGGTTTATTTTAAAATGGGATTTCCACTCATTTTTTCCGGATTTTTTTCATCCCTTAATTTCACTATGGTAGCCGCCGTTAGTGCTGTGTCACTTTTAGTTGTCTTGTCCGCCAACGCTCGCAAAAGCGAAAATATTTCAACAGTAAAATTTGGCAATATCCTGTCGGTACCCAGACGGAAATTATTCATCACCACTAAATATTAGCGTTCAGGTGAAAGATGAGTCGGAGCAAGTTGATCTATATCGACTCTCACCTAGGGTAATTTAGCACCACCTGTCCTCGAATATGGACTCAATCTACCCGCTGGTAGCCATAGCACTATTAATGGCCGCGAAAAGTGTTGTTGGCGCGGTTTGGTGTAATCAGCTGGGGTAGAGGAGGCGGCTGTGAGAGACTGGTGAGCCTCGTCCTGCGATGTGGGAGGAGCACTGCACATGCCACCTACCACTCACACACCCACTACATACACCCACTTTCCCCCCCTCCACCCCCCGCCCATGCATGCCCTCCCGCCCGCACACCCACTTCAAACTTCCCACCCACTTTGGCCCGCCAAGTTTAGCGCGCGAAAATTTGACTCGGCTGGGATGACCGCGTGCTTCCAAAATAACACCAAACTTATACTCAAAACAAACAAAAATAGGAAGGAAAGTATGGAGGGAAATGTATATGTGTGTATGTGTGTTTATATATGTACTGTGGGTTTTTTAGCATTGGTCGAAAAGTTGTGCCGGCCTCTTGCAGGCAGTATGGGCCTCCTAGCTGGTAGGCCTAGGGGGGAGGCTGGGGTCTAAATTAAAGGATATTCCTGGGCGAGGACAGAGTCCGCGCGTCCCAACGAACCCGGCCCGCCCGCCCGCCCGCCCGCCCGCCCGCCCGGTCCCGAACCCGGCCCGCCCGCCCGCCCGGTCCCGAACCCGGCCCGCCCGAGCGAATGAACCCGCCCGCCTGTCCGGCCCCGAACCCAGCCGAACGAATGAACCCGGCTAAACGGAAGAACGAACCCGGATAAACGAACAAACCCGATCGAACGAACAAACCAGGCTAGGCAAACGAACCCGCTAAACGAACGAACCCAGCCGCTTGAACTCGTCCGCCCGGAGCTCGGCCTGTCTAGCGAGCTGGTCTCTGTAGGTGGTGGTCTGTCAGGCGGAAGCCTCGCTATAGCGACCACCAGCATGACATGGGCGGCCTCGCTTCATGAGTTGGCGTCACATGTGTCCCCCCCCCCAACACACACTCCAAACACACCACTGACGCAGTGTTGGGCGGCTAGGGGGGTAGTTAGAAATGGGTGGCGGCCCGCCCGTGTCTCTGGCCACAGCCCCGCCCATACAGCGGCCAGGGTCAGCGGGGCACGGGCGTGGGTGGGCGGGTGAGTGCAAGCGGGCGGCCAGACTGCGTGGCCCCGCTCCACCACCCAAGTCGGGTGGCAAGGAATCGGACAGCGCGTTGGGGGTTTGTGTCTAGTGGTGGGGGTGGCGCTGGTCCGCCTTCCCTCACGTCCCATGGTGGGGGTTTCCCCCACCACTACCACACCACCACCACCACAACCACCACCACTACCATCACCACCACCAACACTATCCACCACCACCACCGCTACCATCACCACCACCACACCACCACCACACCACCACTACCCACACCACCACCACCACACCCCACCACCACCACACACCACCACCTCCACCACCACCACTACCATCACCACCACCAACATTATCACCACCACCGCTACCATCCCACCACCCACACCACCACCACCACCACCACCACCACCACACCACCACCACACCACCACACACCATCACCACCACCAACCACACACCACCACCACCACACACCACCCACCCACACCACCACCACACCACCACCACCACACCACCACTACACCCACCACACCACACACCACACCCACAACCACCACCACACCACCACTACCATCACCACCACCAACACTATCCACCACCACCACGCTACCATACACCACACACCACCACACACCACCACCACCACACCACCACCACCACACCACACCACCAACCACCACACCACCACCCACTCACCACCACCACACACACCACCACCACCCTACCACACCACCACTACCACACCACCACACCACACCACCACCACCACACACTACACCACACTACCACTACACATACCACCACCACCACACCACCACACACCACAACCACCACACACCACCAACACCACCACTACCACCAACCACTACCACACCCACCACCCCTACACACTAACCACCACCACTACCACACCACCACCACACTACCACACCACCACCACCACACCACACCACCACCACCACTACCACCACCATCACCACCATACACCCACCACCACAACACACAACCACACCACATACCACACACCACCACTACCACCACCACCACACACCACACCACCACCACACTACTACTACCACCACCGACTACAACACAACCACCCTCACCACCACTAACCACACAACCACAACCACCACTACCACACACCACACACACACCACCACTACCACACCACCACCACTACCACATACTACCAACCACACACATCACCATCACCACCACACCACCACACTACCACACCACCACCACCACACACCACCACAACCACCACACTACTACCACCACCGCTACAACATACCACCACCACCCACTACACCAACCACCACACTATCACAACCACCACCACTAACACCACCACTACCACCCACCACCACTACACTACTACCACCACCACTACTACACCACCACCACCACCACACTACTACACCACCACACCACACTACCACCTCACCACAATCACCACAAACCACCACACACCACCACCATACCATCATCAACTACAACCACCACTACTACACACCATTACCACTGTCACGATACCACCACTACTTACAACACTACTACCACCATCATCATACTAACGCTACCATAACCACTACACACACCACCCGCTACCACTACTACCACCACCACCATCACTACTACCACCACCACTACTACCACCACCACCACACTACCACCACCACATACTACACACCACCACCATCACTACTACCACCACCACTACTACCACCACCACCACCACTACTACACACCACCACCACCACTACTACCACCACCACTACTACCACCACACGACCACGGCAACACCACACACACACACATCACAATACCATCATGACACCACACCACGCATACCATACACCAAACACCACTACAATACCCCACTACCAATACCACCACACACTACCACCACTACCACTACACTACACACCACCACCACCACCACCACCACTACCACCACCACCAAGCGCTGACAACACCATGCACGCCCACACTAGCCACGCCCGCCCTCCCCCACCCACCCACTAACCTGCCGCCTGCCTTCACACACACACACACACACACACACACACACCACACACACACACACATAAACACACACACACACACACATACACACACACACATACACACATATACACACTCACACACACACACGCACACACACACACACACACACACACACACACACACACACACTCACACACACACACACACACACACACACACACACACACACACACACACACACACACACACACACACACATACAACTACACAGAGGTATGATAAAGCTCATGGTTCAGGGAGAGTTACCCAGTAGCGACCAGTGAAGAGGCAGAGCCAGGAGCTATGAATCGACCTCTGCAACCACAACTAGGTGAGTACACACACACACACACACACACACACACACACACACGCACACACAACCACACACACACACACACACACACACACACACACACACACACAAGGTGGTAATTGCAGTGATGTATAACCCACCACAGAATAGCAGGAGGCCAAGACAAGAACATGAGAGTAACAGAGAGATGGTGGACACACTGGCTCAAGTGGCCAGGGGCCCAGTTGGGCAGAGCAAAGCTACTGGTTGTGCATGACTTCAATCACAAAGAAATTGACTGGGAAAGCCTGGAGCCACATGGGGTCCCAGAAATGTGGACGGCAGACATGTTGGAGATAGTACTGGAAAACCTCATGCATCAGCACGTTAGGGACACTACCAGAGAGAGAGAGGAGATGAGGAATGAGAAAGACTGGACCTAGTATTCACTTTAAGTAGTACAGATATAGTGGATATCACATATGAAAGGCCCCTCAGAGCTAGTGATGATGTGGTTCTGAGCTTCGAATACATAGAATTACTAGTGGAAAGAGAAGCAGGAAGGGCAGAGCAGAGAAAGCCAATCTACAGGAGAGGGGACTACATTAGCCTGAGAAACTTCCTGCATGAGGTTCGGTGGGACAGAAAACTGGCAGGAAAATCAATGAGATAATGGAATGTGTGACAACAATATGCAAGGAAGCAGAGGAGAGGTTTGTATCCAAGGGCAGCATAAACAATGAGAAAGCCAGAACGAGCCCTTGGTTCACCCAGAGGTGCAGAGATGCCAAAACTAAATGTCCTAGAGAATGGAAGAAGTATAGGGGACAAAGGACCCAGGAGAATCAGGAGAGTAAATTATCTGGAGGTTAAGTAGTTGAAGAGCCAGAAATGAATATGCACAGGTAAGGAGAGAGGCCCAATGACAATACGAAAATGTCATAGTAGCAAAAGCCAAGTCCAACCCTAAGGAGGAAAACAACAGTCAAGGACCAAGTAATTAGGCTGAGAAAAGGAGGTGAGATCACAAGAAATGACCAAGAGGTATGTAAGGAGCTCAATGTGAGATTTAAAGAAGTATTCAGAGGGGAGACGGAATGGACTCCTGAAACACGGAGGGGTGGGGTATACCACCAAGTGCTAGACACAATACCTACAATTGAGGAAGAGGTGAGGAGGCTGCAAATTGAACTAGCTACCTCAAAGGCAATGGTGCAG